GGATAAATTTCATTGGGAAAATATTGAGCTGTGGGTATTAATTCAAGAGCCATAGGTGGGTGAATGGCTTATAGAGTTTTAAAGGTTATCTAGATGGTGAATACAACTGGAGAAGAGAAAGTGGTAATTCATTAGTCTAGGGTGCTTTACAAGATTTAGAAATTGGTATAAGGAAGACGATCCAGCCAGATTGGAGTCATAAAGAGTATATATAAAATGTGATGCTGTGACTCAAAAGGTCTAGTCATATAGATTCAAAAGGAAAGATGATATTTGAGAAATATTCATCCAGGATAATCAAGGAAAGAAAGGACTTCAAGAAGGTGGAAATGGCCAGTTGTTTTATTTTTTTGAAACAAGGTATACCAGTTGGCATTTATTTTATTTCTGTTTTTTGTCCAGGCTGCATGGCTTGTGGGATCTTAGTTCCCCAATCAGGGATCAGAATCCATGCTCCTTGCAGTGGAAGCACAGAGTCCTAACCACTGGACCGCTAGGGAATTCCCTGGTCAGTTGTTTAAATGTCGATGAGAAGTTGAAAGGATGGTGACCTCAAACAAATATTGGATTGAATAGTGTGGAGGTCACTGGTAACACTGACAGAAGTGATTTCAGTGGAATACTGGGTGAAAAACTTACTGGCAAGAATATGAGAGAGAATGAGAAGAAGAAAGTGGAGACAGTGAGCATAGAAACTTTTGAGGAAATCTGCCATAAAAAGAAGTAAGAAATGGGGAATTGGGATTGTCTTGCCAAGGGAGAGGTTTTTGTTTTAGGATAGGTGATACTAAAGCATTTTAGATGTTCATAGGAATGATCTATTACAGCATAATTTGCAGTCCAGAAGGAAAAAGGGGAAAACTACCTGAGTAGGATTCTTGAATATATGAGGGGAATCCAGAACATAAGGGAGAACTTTGGCCTCAGAAACAACAAAGGTCATTCATCTATTTTAAGCCAAGTATACAAATCAGGGGGCTTTCCAGGTGGCTTAGTGGGTAAAGAATCAGCCTGCAGTGCAGGAGAAGCAGGTTCGATCCCTGGGTTGGGAAAATCCCTTGGAGGAGGGCATGACAACCCACTCGAGTACTTTTGCCTGGAGAATCCCCATGGACAGAGGAGCCTGGCGGGCTAGAGTTCATAGGGTCATAAAGAATTGGACATGACTGAAGCAACTGAGCTCACAAGCCCATACAAGTCAGATGCAGTTAAACTGATTTATTTATTTGTAGACGTTCTCTTCTGAGGGCTTTAATATTGCTCGGTAACATAGGATCAAAGTCATTATTAGGGAAAAGCTGTAAAGTAGGCATTTTGGAGGTTTGAGGACGAAAAGATATGAAAATCATTCAGGAGAGGACTGTAAATTTGATAAATAAAGGGAATACTGTTGTTGGGCAGTCCTGAGTGTCCCCTTGAAGTTTATTTCCTCACATTTAATGTGAGGCCAGTCCGCATATTTAATGTTTTTCCCCATTCATCTCCAGTTATTTGGGTGTTGACAAGTAATTGGCTTAGGTTGCATTTAATTATTGTTGTGGTTTTGCTGGGCAGCTGTCACAGGAAAAAAGGGCAAGGGAATGCAGAGGAGAATAAGGGAGTGATTATAGTGATGGATGTGAGATTTAAGCTGGGTTGTGAAAGAAGTGAGAGTATGTGGGGCAGGATAAATGGAATGCGAGTTTGCAGATTCAAAGTATTAAAATGGGGGGTGGGAAGTGGAACGTGAGATAGATACCAAGACATTGTTCAGGGTGTGGGATCTTCCTGTCAAGCTTACGGAGGAGATGGAGGGAGTTTGGAGTGTGCAAAAAGTCTAGGAAATGACCGTGGGAGATAGCGTGGAAGGTTAGAGGAGTGGAATAGAGGAGAAATCTCAGCGTCCTGGATATTGGTAAGATTGTCCACATGGATAAAGAAATTACCAAGAAGAGTGACAGTGAGGAAAATAGCCTATTGTTGACTAAAATTACCTATGGCAAAGATTATAAGAGACTGAGGAATGTGACAGAAGATCCAGTATCAAATCCTGCACTTTGAAGGAAATCAGAGCTCTCAGGCAGGGACTAGGGAGAGTGGTCTTGAGGTGCCGGGCAGCGCATAGGATGCAAGAGGGAAAAGCATGCATGAGGGTGTGCTGATTTCCTGGGACTCCTGTAGCACGTTACCACAAACTTGGTGGCTTAAAACAACAGAGAATTATTGTCTCATGATTCTTGAGGCCCAGAGTCTTGAAATCAGTATCAGGGACAAAATGGAGGTGTGAGTACATACAGCCACACTGCTGCCTCCAGTGGCATGGGGGAGAACCTGTTTCTTGCCTCTTTCAGCTTTTGGTAATGTCCAGCATTCCTTGGCTTATGGTCACATCCCTTGAATCTTTTTGCTTTTAAAATATTTATTTATTTATTTGACTGTGCTGGGTCTTAGTTGCAGCATGCAGGATCTTTAGTTGTGGCATATGGGATCTAGTTCCCTGACCAGGGATCGACCCTGAGCTGCCCGCATTGGGAGAATCTCTAAGGCAATCATTCCAATCTCAAAATGCTCCATCTTCATATTGTCTTCTCTGTGTGTGGTAAAATTCCCCTCTGTCTGCAAAGGATACATGTAATTGCACTTAGGGTCCATCTGGAGGATTCAGGATAATCTCCTTATCTCAATATTTTTAACTTAACAACATCTGCAATGACTTTTTCCCCTCCTTTCCCTCCATAGGTTATGATTCCCTGTAAAGGGAGATGGACAGTCACCTAAAATGTGTCTTGATGTCAAGACTGCCGATGCCACATGTAGATCAAGAGGATATGATAAGCTTTCACAGTTGAAGTTTCTGAGGAAGGCAGGTAGGACTCTCACATTGGTCTGAAATGGCCTAAAAAAGCAAGGGAAGGAGATTGGCTTCAATATTTCTTGTGACTAGGGGGTGGGGCCAGGGTTGAGTGAGAATTCATGTGTGCTCGAAGGAGATTGGGCTTCCCTTGTGGCTAAGCTGGTAAAGAATCCACCTGCAATGTGGGAGACCTGGGTTCGATCCCTGGGTTGGCAAGATCCTCTGGAGAAGGTAAAGTCTACCCACTCTAGTATTCTGGCCTGGAGACTTCCATGGACTGTATATTCCATGGGGTCACAAAGGGTTGGACATGACTGAGTGACTTTCACTCACTCACAGAAACAGATTAGGTGGTATGAATTTCCTACCAGCGCCAATGGAGAGAAGGTTCAGACCGTCTTATTGGCAGTTCCCAGTGTGGGCACAAGTGAAGAACCATGGGTGAGACTTGATAACTGTCAGCAGTCAATCATCCAGAAATGAGGTCAGACTCCTTTTTACCACTTGAAGTTGCATTCTCAGGGTCCGGAGATTAGAGTTTGGATGTGGCGGTGGGGGTGGGAGTGCATGGTTTTCAACCTACCACAGTGGGTTATGCTACATAAGCATGGTACTCTAGTGATAATCTAGAGTCAAATATAATCAGAAATTGAAGGATATATTACAGAAGTTAATGCTATAGGAAGTTTTTAATGAGCTGAAATCTCTTTGCCTGTTCTGTTGGTTTTGTTCATTGCTTTGTTTGCAACTTGGACACCAGTTCCTTGGATACTATTAGTTGGCACACAATTCGTATTTTCTGAGTGAATGAATGGGTGAAAAATGGACCTCGTTTCTAAAAAAAACAGAAATTGTTGGAAAATAACAGCAGAAGGTTGGACTTAAAATCCAGGCATTCAAAAAGTGCATACACATTATTATTTTTATAATATTGTATGGTACAGGAAAGGAAGTTTGGAGCTGGCATATCACTTTGTGGAGTTGGCTTTTCACTCCCACATTTACTGAGCCAAGGAATGAACCCTGATGAGCAGATGGAGAATTCTGAGGCAGAACACCCTGCCTTTCTACCTGACATAAAAGTTCTGTTTACCATTTTTGGTCCTCTTGTCTCCACACTGATGGTCTCCTGGCCAGCTGCTCTGTTGCAGGTCACTGCTCTGGCTCCCTAACTGCTCTGAACACTAAAATGTCTCCAGGTGTCATGTGGAAAGCAAAACTTATTTAAAAAAGCAATGAAGACATTACCTGAACGACACAGAGAAACAGAGAAGATAGAGATATAATATCACAAGGGCTCTAGCTCTAGAAGGTACTGGATCCCTGAAAGGTGAGGGGGAGAGAGAGAGAGATAATTAATCATAACAATAAAGCAAACTCAAAGATGTTTCCTGCTCATTCTCTTTATCCTCTGGAGAGTAACTGCAACAAAATATAGCCTGTCTCTTCACATTTTTGTCCACTGGGCACACGTTTACCAAATGACTCATTTCCAAGGTGTTTCCCTCTTCCTCTTCAGAAACATCCTACCAATGACGGCTCAGTTGCCCTTGGCCAGTCCTTTTATCTACTCCTATGCCCTGTGAGTTGGGCCATCTTGAATTCTTCCTGTTCAGCGGATGCTAAGCAAACAAGTAGGCTAGGGAAGAAACAAGTCATCTCAGCTGTCCTGCCCCAGGCATTCAGGGACGCCAACAGTTCACTTCATCACACAGGGCGGGTGCGTCATCAGTGAGAAGGTGTCCGTTTCATCTGTCTTGTTCTCCCGTCCTGCAGTTCATGGTACCATTATTTGACTTCTTTAAATGTGACGTTAGGAGGAAGTCTGAGAGACTGGTGTAGAGGCTTCCGACCCACTTCCTGACATGAGGTACTCTGCCCTTTGGGTTTCTGTCCTCCTGTAAGCACGCTCTGCCTCCGTCTGGGGCGGGCCTCGGCCCGCGTCTGGGCCAGAGTTCCTGGAGAGAAGTCTTCTCTCGGGCCTGCGCACGGACTCGGAGAAGCTTTCAGCTCCGCCGGGGTTTCGCTTTTCTTTAGTCCTGTTCTGCCCTCTGGTAGTTCCCCATGAGTCTGGATCTTGCAGGTTTCGCGTTGGTGGTTTTCCTTTCGCGTTCTGGCCTGCTCTGGGTTTTCCGTTGGACGTCGCGGAGTGGCGGAAGCTGCGGCCATGAGCCTCACCTCCTCAGGCCTGTGTATGCTTGGCGGTGCGAGCGCTGGGGCGGCTGGGGGCAGTGTTTCTCTGGAGCTGCAGACTCAGTGGTCGCAGTCCCGAGGTAAACGATGCCGCCCAGACTCTTTCAGAGAAGGAACGGGATCGACGCCGCCATTGCACCTGAGCAGGGTCGGGTGCCCGGATGTGATCCTCAGTAGACAATGCTTACAAATACCTACCTTATTACTGTGGAGTGAAAGCAAAGTCACAACAGACGGCCATTTCCCAATACCAAATGTCCTGTTTTGCTTGGTTGTGTATGGTACTTGGGCCACTGGTTACGTACAAGGATTTCAGCTATTTTATTTTCCAGCAACAGTAATCTTTAAGGTCTAACTGTCAATTTAATGGCGCCAATGACCATCAAAACAAAGAAAATTACACAGTAACTCTGTCTGTCTTTCGGAAAGGGAATCATCTGCATTCATTGTGGTGCTGAGCATTGTCTTTTTTCCCCCAACGCTCCCGTAACCCGCATTCACACGAGTGCCAACCAGGAACCCCAAGGGCATTTTATTTTCAATGTCTTGCTTCAAGCAGGGAAACTTTCTATAGCATCACTTTTAGTACAGAGTGAACAAAGTAGAAAATAATACCTTTCTAGGAAGGGAAAAGCAGAGTAAGCCTCTCGATGGTGATAAATGATGTGTGCATGGAAAAGGAGTAGATACACAGGTACATAGGGGTGGGAAAACTATTATCCCTCAGATCTGTGTGCAGCTTTCATTGGGTGGAGTTCAAAGCACTTTAGTGCTTTTAGGGAAGAAAGAGAAAGGTTACATGAAGGAAAAAAATACACGGACATGGAAATAAAACGTTGCTTGACTCAGCTGTATTATTTTAAAGGGAACACTGTGTGATTGAGTTGTGCCAATGGACGTTTGGTTTAAAAATCCATTACCAAAGCTGGATGAACATTTTTAGGGCCCTATACTAAGTGGCAGGTAGACACATCCAAAGAATTGATGGTACCAAAAAAAAAAAAAAAAAAGAATAAGAATGTTCCTATTGTTGTCATTACTTGTTGGGTGCCTTTTAACCTAGAAAGGAACCAAACTTGATTTTAAATACAGGTTCCTACAAGCTTTTAGAGGCCACAAATTTGAAGTTTGTATAGGCAGAATGAAACTGCTCCGCTATGCTCCCTGTAAAGAGCTCAACAAATGTATCTGCTGGGCTCCAGTCTTCTAACTGATACTCTTCCAAGTCCTCGAAATCCAAAGATAAATAAAAATGTGATACTTGACTCCAAAATGGTTCCAGTGAATGGAAGAGACAGACACATAAACACAGACGTGATGCATAAGCAGTATTGTTCAGAGCACGGGATATGTGTTGTGACAGGGATATTCAGAGGGTGCTCTGTGAGAAGAGAGATGTGCTTATTGCAGCCTGTCACGAGCATTCAGAGGAGGGTTCTCGAAGAAGCTGGCCACCGAATGTGGTTTTGAAGGAGATTTGAGTTTGATATGTGAAGACAACTGAAAAGAGTGTTTCTGACATACGGTAATATAAACAAATATAAAGAAACATACAATAGCACAATATATAATCAAGCAACCGAAAACAAGCCACTGTTACTAGTCTCTGAAGCTCGTTGGGTGAGTGGTAGGAAGCTGAGGCTGGATTGTTTCGTATGCCATGCTCAGAAGCTCAGTTTTTATCCTTTATGCTACTTGCCTCCAGACATTTTTTGACAAGGCCTGCCCATTGAATGGGAGTGAGGAGTGGATCTAAGAGGTGAGGGTGAAGGGATGGGAGAAGGAAATGTGGAAATTTTGTTTACATGAGCAGAAGAGAAGTGGTGATGTAGAATGGGATGAGAATTCTGTGGGTAAGCAGATTCAGGGGCAAGAGACAACTCATTTTTATAGAGATTTGTTTCCTTTTGATTCTCTTTATCCATGATCCTCTGAAATTTTCTGTTTTTCTCCTAAGCAGCCTGTACCATTCTCCTTTATTTTTTTTCCAGACCTCCACATTTTGGTCTGTTCTGTGTCCTTAGTGAATACATTGTCTCTCTTGAAATATGAGAACATCTTTTCCAAGGGCCTTCTTGTTGTTGATAATTCATCTTTTATTCTAGTTTTATAGATGAATTTTTCCCAATGTGTTATTTTTAGCCAATACAGGCTCTTTTACTGTTTAGAAACAAATGACCTCATAGTTTTTGTGGTTTACTATAAATAATGTTTATTTTTTGCTCATGGAATTTGACTTTATCTCATGTGCTTTTCTTCCAATGCCCATTTCAAAGTGGGTCCCAGAACAAAACAGCCAATGTAAGTGATTTATAGATGATCCCAAGAGAAGGAAAAAGGAAGGCAGGGAAGAATAGAAATGGTCAGAAAGGCTCCACTTTCAAGCCAGCTATCACTGTGGACAACAGGACTTCAGTCTTCCTGTGGAAGTCTAGATGCCAGAGTACGTATGCACCTGAGTTCTCCCACCCTAGGCTCAGGGGGTTGTGGTATTCATCCATCAGCTTCCATCATTCTTTAGCTGAGGCTGAACCAAAGAAACTTTAGTCTCCAGTATTTTAGGTCGAGAGGGTAAGTGGCCTTGATGGTTTCAGAGTCAGAGAAAAGCCCTCATGGAAAAAATGCATGTGCTGGCCTTTGCACATCTGAGAGGGGTACAGTGGTGTGGTCAGAGTAAAGGAATGTGGAGAGAAACCCACTAAATCCATCAAGGGATGAGCAGAGAAATGAGCAAAGAAATAAGGAAAACAGAACACTGTTAAGATACTTTAATAATTTTATTTTACCACTATTTCCTTCAAAATTTAGCTGACTCCTTCTATAATCTACTTGTGGTAGCTAATGTGGAAATTTATAGCATTTGAATCTCACATTTGTAGTTACTAGAACACATCTTATTTTTCATCTATCTGTGCTGTTTTCCCACTTATCCCTCCAATTTCCCATGTATAAAATGACTCATATGTCAAGACCTACCTTAAATGATTTCTCTTTCATAAAGATTTCCTCAAACTTTAGTCAAAATTGATCACTCCGTACTGAGTACTCTTATAGAATTTTGCCCATACTTCCATTCTGTCATCTTATCACATTATAACTTACAATCTGTTAACATCCTTAAGGTATGTATTGTTTCTTACTCATTTTTACTTATCTTTCAGTTGTCACTCAAAGAAGCTTTGTATGCATAATGAGCAAATGCATAAGCAGCCATGACACTTATTCCCTTGCAGTGAAGACAGTTAATCTTCTTTGGAAAAAATAATAAATGCCTCACTTTATTCAATGTACTTTTACAAATCTCTTAATAAATATGTTTTTGTAAATAGAGACATTATTATTATGTATCTTAGGGAATTTATAATTTCAACTTATGTGGTGGTGGTTTAGTCACTAAGTCATGTCCGACTCCTGCGATCCCAAGGACTGTAGCCTGCCAGGCTCCTCTGTCCATGGGATTCTTCAGGCGAGAATACTGGAGTGGGTTGCCATTTCCTTCTCCAGGGGATCTTCCTGACCCAGGAATCGAACCTGGGTCTCCTGCATTGCAGGCAGATTCTTACCAACTGAGCTATGAGGGAAGCCCCTAATTTCAATGTATAGTTATGTATAAAATCACTTTTATCAAATGAGCATGATTTTTGAAGTTATGTAAGAGGAAATTAATTTTTTAACTTCCAATAAATGTTACCAGATCCTTGGGAAGAAAACATTAATGAAATGAAGCTTAAAGATGTCATTTCTTACTTTTAAGATCAAGACGATTTAATAAAGAGATGTAAAGAGTAGTCACAATTTAGGAGTATCCACTTCAAATTGTAGAAAAGAGGTTGCTTTACTATTATTTAACTTTTTATATGAATAGCAAAATGATAGGCATGAGAAACTGGGACTATTTGTGAAGAAAGTTTGAAGAAACAGTTCCTGTTAGGTATCTGCTCTGTCAGAAGTTTTGGCGCTGCTCAGTATATATGGCGATAACTTTTAAATTCTGTATAATTTAAAATGCAAGTTCAGCATATGTGCAGCAGCATTTCTCTGAGACAATTTGTTGTGAGAGAAATTTCACCGACAAATGTCATGCAACACCTACATTACGCAGTGTCCTGAAGAGTTACAGTTCTTAAAGCTGTGAGAACTGGGGCTACATTGTCATAATTAAAGTTCAGAGGCCGTTTTGCCAACATCCCAAACTGCCTTTCATTTTTCCTTCTGTAGTAGTATTTATCATTTTCAAAAAAGGCATTTCAGCCTGTCTTTTCTATGCTATAGTTGGTCAAGGTTCACGGGCAGAATAGATGGCTCCCAGAATTACTGCAAGCGGTCTTGGGAAGCGGCAGAGCTGTGCTGGGGCATGTAGATATTTATTATTTTATATACAGCTTTTCCCGTCATGAAGCAGAACTGCGAGCACTGGCCTCAGGTTTGATGAACGAGGTGTGGGTCAGACAGAGGAAAGGTGAATATTCTCCTGAAGTCAGACCTCTGAGGTTCATCAGTTATTTATAGAAAACTTTGGTGTGCGGCTGCAGTGGTCAGGGCCAATTTCTATAATAATATGGAGAGAAGAGCTCTCTGATCACACCCTTCCCCTCAACAGAAGAAAGATTGGCATTTAAGAGAGGACTATAAGCCAAGATCAGGGCAGGACTGTGTCTGTAAGGGTAAGTCTCCACTGATGGGAGTGGCTGATCATCTACAGACCTTGAAGTTTTCCTGCCAGTGTCACGAACCTACTTAGTAACAGCAACCGCATCTTAAATTTATGTAGTGTTTATATTTTCCCCCACAATATCCTGAACATAGTTTTAACCTATTGCCAGCACTTGATAAATCTTCATAACAATAAGGAAAAAATGGGCACATACTATCTCTAGGTTCCAAATCAGAAAACTATTACCATTTTTGAGGGGTCAAAAATATGAAAGTTTAAACATTTTAGTGCCAGGCCAATAGTTGGAAATGATGAGTAGCACTTAAAAATTAAAAAAAATATAATCCGTGATTATGCCATTGGCTAAGAAATCAAGACTTGTGTGTGTTTTCCTGCAACGCGTGGCATCTTAGTTCATGTGGGATCTTAGTTCCCTGATCAGGGATAAAACACATGCCCTCTGCATTGGAAGGGAGAGTCTTCCCTCAAGGATGGTCACTAGACCATCAGGGAAGCCCCAGAAACTGAGATTTAAAGCACTTGCTAGTATCTAGAAGTTTTCTGATCTAAAAATGCAGATGGATGCAAGTAGTCAAATTAATCATTTATAGACTCTATTATTTACAGACATAATTCCTGTCATAAAACAAGTTAAATTATCTGTGTGGTCATACCATAGTTGACATGGTATTTAGACTTCGCAATAGCATGTGCAGGAAACAAATGAAATAATCATTTGTTGATAGAGATCTGATTCAGCTGCAGAAATGGTTGTTAGTAGAGTCCAGTTTTAAGTGTCATATGGCATTGCTTCATATTTAGACTCTCCTTTAAAGGATTTGCTGGCATGAAGGCATCTTCATACAGTTGATCAAGAAACATATAGTTTATTGCTTAATGATTCCAAAATTCCTAAGAGGTAGGTTTTATTAGCTCTTCAATCTCTGCCCAAGAGATAGCTTAAGATTTCCTCCTAAAATAACCACAAAGAGTGGGAGTTTCTAGGAGTCAGAGGGCACGTGATCACTTTTCTTTTTAAAAATTTAAACTCTTTATTTTCTGTGGGGTATAAGTGATTAACAATATTGTTATAGTCATACATATGTATCCATCTTCCCCCAAACTCCCCTCCCATCCAGGCTGCCACAGAACGTTGAGCAGAGTTCCCTGTGCTATATGGTAGGTCCTTGTTGGATATCCATTTTGAATACAGCAGTGAGCACACACCACTTTTGTGCACACCAGTAAGTTGTAGGTTAGGGGCAGAGAACAAAGAGTTAAAGTTCTCTTGTCTTTGTCCAAGGCCTGGTCCAGTACTGGTCACCTGAGCCTGCCTCCTACAGGAAAACCCTCCTCTACAGAAACGTCCAAGGGAAACAGCAACAGCAATGGTTATCGCTCAAAGGCTGCCTGGGGCACAGTACAGCCTGTGGTTTCTTTGGGAAAGTGAAAGTCACTCAGTTGAGTCCGACTCTTTGTGACGCCATGGACTATACAATCCATGAAATTCATCAGGCCGGAATACTGGGGTGGGTAACCTTTCCCTTCTCCAGGGGATCTTCCCAACCCAGGGATCAAACCCAGGTCTCCTGCATTGCAGGCAGATTCTTGACCAGCTGAACCACCAGGGAAGCCCAGGAATACTGGAGTGAGTAGCTTATTCCTTCTCCAGCGGATCTTCCAGACCCAGGAATTGAACCGGGGTCTCCTGCACTGCAGGCGGATTCTTTACCAACTGAGCTATGCTTCAATAACTGGTATAAATGAACATATACCAAAAGCAGGGATTCTAACCAAATAAAATATTGATTTTTGTTCAGAGAGTACTTTGATGCTCCAGTTTTCTTGTGATTTAATAGTTCTAGAAAATACATAGGTTTATTTCCAGTTCACATATGCTCATTAAACCATTTTAAGTGAATTTAGTTAATAGTAAAAGTTAATAACTATATCAGCTTCTTGAGTGAAAGGACCTTGTCTGTTTGACATATGTTTAAGGACACTGACATTTATGTAATTCAGAATAAATATTTGTTGAATGATAAATAAACAAATGATAGCTATCTCTGCACTGTTGCTCTTAAATATTCCCATATATTAGTGACTGGCTGATGGCTAGTTTGCTGGTTTTGTCATTGATATTGTTGAACTCACTCATCATTGAGTACTCTAAACTTTAAGAACATGAAACTTTAAGGTATAATATTATACACTTAAAACTAGGGCTTAGTAATTTTTTTAATATAAAATGACAGCCATAAACATTTGAATTTTTTCTGAAATTAGTTCATTGTCTAAAAAGGTATTCCCCATTGGGAGTGGCATGGCGATTCTCAAACAGGGGTGATTTTGCCACCCAGGAGACATTTAACAATGTCTGTACAGACACCGTTTTGTTTATCAGGGCTTGTGGGGGAGAATGCTAATGGCATTCAGTGTATAGAGGCCAGGAATACTGGTACATATCACATCAGTGTGTGTACACAGCCCCCTGAACAAAGAGTCATCCACTACAAAATGCCAGTGCGGATACCGTGTCATTTAATCTCTACAGTTCACAACAGGTAGATTTTGATTGTGAATTGCATGCTTCTTTCTCTCTTTTTTCCCCCTTACCTCTGTGATACTTTTTTCTTCCTCAGTTAATAAGGTAGGAGAATTAGTGATCTCCTACAAATAATTCACTCACCTTCCTGATTAGTCAGATCACGGCTCTGTTTATAACACAGTGCTTGCATTCTCTTCTTGTCATATTGCCCACAGTCAACTTCTCCCACAAGTAAAGTGATTCAGTGCTCATTACCAGGCCCTTGGCTACAATTTTACATGTAGTAGCAACATGTGGTTCCCTGATGTTTGTCCCATAGTAGACTTTTCAAGCATTTCCTGTGGGAACAATGTCCCCTTATCTTTGAACATTCAAAACCAGTTGGTGTGGCCTTTATACGTGAATGTAACTACTGTTTGATATAAAATTCCTGGGTTGCACTTTCTAGCTCTAAGAATTCCATGGATCTCACCTCTCCTAGTGTTGAATCCTGCTACCCCACTGCTCCTGTGACAACAGATTCAAGTTGGCCTCAAGCTCCCTAGAGACAAATAGGTTTCAACCTGATATGTGATGTCCCTGTCTTTATAGAAGGATACACAACTGGGAGCACAATTGGGCATAGCAACTAATCTCTCCCTCTCAACCAGCATGAGTGGTTGCCACAAACAAAAGTCAAAATGTCTGGAGGTCACCTCAAGACTGAGAAGCCGCAGTATCCATCTTTTAAATGGTTCTGGACACAGAGGCACAGGAAGAGTGGACCACTTGGTTCCTGTGGGCAACCGGGATGAAAGAACACAAGAGAGGAAGACACTCCACACTGACTCTAAATGTGTGATTTCCGAATGTGTTTGGCTGTTTAAGAAATGATCCCTAAAAATGGTAGCATGGAATAACAGCAATTTATTAACTCAAGGTTCTGCTGAATAGGTCCAGTGGTCTGGGACTGAGTCTAATCTCATCCAGGCTTGCTGCTCATCCGTGGTCACTTGGCACTACAGCTGAAGCCCTGGCTGGTCCAGGCGGCCTGCCCACAGGACTGGCGGTTGTCTGTCTCTGGGCCCAGGCCTGATGATGACGGGGCCGTGAGTCTTATCATCTAGCAGACAGGATGGCCTCACATGGCAGCTCCGAGGTCCAACAGCATCATGAGAGGACAGGTGCACTGAAAATTTTACTAGCATCTGTCTCCTTGCTGATTATTTTCAGTACCTGTTTTCTTGAGACAGGGGGTCCATATTTTAGCATCATATGCAGATCTTTTATTTAAGACAATCTTCATTTACTGTATCTTTGAAAATGTGTTTTGTTTCCTGATTTTTTTTTCAAGATGAAATTTATTTAAGCTATATCCCTTTTCCCCTTGATTTTCATACTTATTTTCTCTATTTATATTCTACTTGTTTTTACTTCTCTTATTTTTATTTTTAATGCCCCTTACTGTATTTTTTAACATTGTCTGTTTTCCTTTATACTTCTTGCCATTATTTGTGAGGTTATTCACTGTTTCTGCCACTTCTTTCCTGAGTTCTCCTTTTAGATTTTATCACTGTCTGCTTCCTTACCCTCTTTCTCTTGTGCTTACATCGCCTGTTTTGACTCAGTGAGGTGACTGTTTCATTTATGTTGTATTTGTCTTGCTGTTCATTAATGGTGAAGTATTTGGTTGCAGTTTTCAACTGGTCAGTGGACATCTTTTTTTCCTGATAAACTTCCTTAGCCTGCTGTGTGTTTTCTACTCTTCTACTTGGTTTCTTTTATTTTTATCTATTTGATGCAAAGAACTGACTCACTGGAAAAGACTCTGATGCTGGGAAAGATTGAGGGCAAGAGGAGAAGGGGGCGACAGAGGATGAGATGTTTGGATGGCATCACTGACTCCATGGATATGAGTTTGAGCAAACTCTGGGAGATAGTGAAGGACAGGGAAGCCTGGAGTGCTGCAGTTCGAGTTGGATACAACTTAGCAACTGAAATAGTTTATGTATAGCCACCCTGGTGACTCAGCAATAAAGAATCTGTCCACAATGCAGGAGATGTGGATTCTGTCCCTGGATGGGGAAGATCCCCTAGAGAAGGAAATGGCAACCCACTCCAGTATTCTTGCCTGGAGGTCTACAGTCCATGGAGTTGCAAAGAGTCAGACCCAGTCAGACCCAGACTGAGTGACTAAACAGCAGCAATAAATGTATACACCCTTTATAATTAATTCTGATGCTTAGTTTGAAATATGCTTTCTTTTTCCTGGGCCAGTTCTTCACCATAGGTGGAGGAAGATGTTTCACAGAGAGATTAGAGCCATGATGTGTTTTAAATTTCATTTTTAAAAAATTAATTAGCTGTTTGAGTTGAGATTTGGTGACATGCCACATTATGTAAGTGTGAGTAGGTTGGAGTTGAGATTTGGATGCGGGAGACCACAGAGGGAGCTCTGACGTCAGGCAGCCCTGGGGCCCAGCTGTGATGCATTTGTTCACCAGGCCAGGTGTTCCCTCCGTTCCGAGGCTTCTTCCGAATATGTTGTGTGCATGCAATTCCATGTTTAATCCTTTCGTTTCTAGATCTCGCCCTGGAGCAGGGAAGATGGGTAGCTGGTCCCTGCCCGCCATTCACTGTTGTGAGCAGGGGTTCCCAGCCTGCCCTGATTAGGACGGGCCCTCACATTGGACAGCTCTTTCTTGCGGGGTTTTGGTGCTTGCGGGCCCAGGGTCAGCTCTGCTTCTGCCGCAAGCAGTCCTGCTCAGCGGGCACTGTGTTTGCAGCCTCCCTTCTGTTCCCCGTCATGGCTTTTCACCTCACTGCTGTTTTTAATTAAAATGGATATTTCCTTTCTGTTTCTAGTTCGAAGGGTGATTTTCAGAAAATGTCACCTTCATTGTTGTTCAGTCCCTCAGTTGTGCCCGTCTCTTTGCCACCCCATGGACTGCCGCACGCCAGGCTTCCCTGTCTTTCGCCATCACCCAGAGCTTGCTCAAACTCGTGTCCATTGAGTTGGTGATGCCATCCAACCTTCTTGTCCTTTCTATGAACTTCAAACTGCACACACGCCCGCCTTGTCTCTCTGTCCTCCTTCCTGCCATGTTCTAGGAGATCTCTCAGCTTCTTCCAGTCCTTTCCTTTTTTTCAGAGGTGGCCAGGAATGACATTAGGATTATATTTTCCAAGAGCCATTTCTGCTTCTCTGATTACCCTTTTTACCTGTTATCACTGTGTGTGTGTTTGTGTGTGTGACATGCTACATATGGAAAGGTGAGCAAAATTTAAATGTATGGTTTAACAAGTGGTAATAAAACCACTCCTATCTAACAGCCAAATGGGTGAGGAAATGGACTGCCAGCCCTTCAGCAGTCCCCAGGGTCACAGCACTTGCCTCCACCCTCCTAACTCCTCAGTACTTACAACAGGTAACCACTTTTCTGCCTTTAATGCAGTCACTGCTCAGCTGATTGGAAGTTCTGGCTCAGATGGTAAAAAATCTTCCTGCAATGTGGGAGAGCTGGGTTTGATCCCTGGATGGGGAAGATCCTCTGAAGGGAATGGTTACCTACTCCAGTATTCTTGCCTAGGAAATGCCATGGACGGAGGAGCCTGGTGGGCTTGAGTCCATGGGGGGGTCACAAAGAGTTGAACACATCCGAGCGACTGAAACTTCCACTTTCAATGTGTGAGTGGACTTGTAGGCAAGTGGATTCCATAGTAACTGATCCATTTCTACTGGGTATCATTGAACTCTGATGTCTGGAGGAATAACTCTTTTTTGAGGATTATATCTGACTGAAATCTCTTGTGAGTAAAACCAGAAAAGGCGTAAATTCTGTCATTCAAAGTGTTATCACTTAATTTCTCAGTTTTACCTCATGCTTTATTTACCCTGTTCACCAGGGTCCCTAGTGTTCTGATAGGGCTCCTTCTATTCAAGTCATTCAGAGATGGAGCTCCAATGCTCTTGGAGCTCATGGACCTGGAGACGACTGTATGACTCCTTTGCATTTCACTGTGTGGTTTAAGTTGCTGAGTTGTGTCCAACTCTTCTGTAACATCAAGGACTGCAGCCCTCCTCTGTCCATGGGATTCCCAGGCAAGACTACTGGAGCGAGTTGCCATTTCCTTCTCCAGGGGATCTCCTCAACCCAGGGATCCAACCCAGTCTCCTGCACCAGCCCGTGAATTCTTTACGAGCCACCAGGAAAGCCATTGCATTACAATAGTCCATCCAGTTTTATTCTCCTAGCCTCTGAACTACCACCTGACTTCCAGTTGTGACACTTTCTGAGATTCTTTGGGTGAATCCTATTTCTACTGGCACTCAAAGTGCAGTGTTCTTTATTCCTCCTGAATCAATTACCAGCTAGTCTGTTACATTCACCAAAAAACATTCAATTTCCTGTCTGCTATTATCACTTCTCCCTTTCTTTCTGTGCTTGAGGGCCAGAATTTTGAGCAGAAATAGTTGAAAGCAAATTTCATGTAAAATGTTCCCTTTTTCTTCTAGTCTCTTTCTAGAAGTTCTGTAATATTTTTATTACTTACAACTTCTATATGTATGCATGTACGCCAAGATGGAATATTGAAAGTTGTCAAGTTTCAGAGTAATAATATTGATCAAGTTTATTTCAATAGTTAAATCAAATGTTAACATTAAACTATAAGTTTGGAAGGTTTAACTCTTGTTTTTTTTCCCCCAAATCAATACAGAACTAACACTTACAATTCCATTGCTAGATGTGAGACTTTGCAGTTGGTGTAATATAGAACAGACACCTTCAAAGGAGAAAAAAATATTACAAATACTTGTGGAGTTCTGTTATGTTGTATACTTTTCTCCTAATCTAATAAACTCAGTAATTGTGATCACTAGGATTTTGAGATTTACCCATTATTTGTTCTTCCTTTCTTCCTAAAGGGTTTGTTTCAGTGCCTCATTTTATTGCTTTCAGTTAATGAAATCCAATTCTAAAACCATAGTTTCCTCAGGTGTTACCTATGAGCGCTGTCCTCCAGACTATCATCTTTTTTCACCTGTTCAGCTTCTCTTTTGGGGAACATTCCAAGTTAAGGTTGTTAACCTCACCTCCTGCTCCCCCTTTCCCTCCATTTTGTCTGGTGTGGGTAGTTCAAATGCACATCGTTTTGGTCCTGAAATCCACCTCCAAGCTCACTGCATAACCCTTTTATCAGATTTTTACAGGGATCAGTTTATCCTGGAAGGCACGTTGACATCTTTCTGAGTCTGACGGCACCTCCCTCTGCTATATCAGTACACTCCCCATTGCCCTTGGATCTGACGCCAGCGTGAGCATGTGTGCTCAGTCATGTCTGCCTTTTGCGAATCCACGGACTGTAGCCTGCTAGGCTCCTCAGTCCATGGAATTTCCCAGGCAAGTATACTGGAGTGGATTGCCATTTCCTACTCCAAGGGAGCTTCCTAACCCAGGGATTGAACCCGGCCTTCTCTTACATCTCCTGTAGTGGCAGGCGAATTCTTTACCACTGTGCCATCCGCTCGCAATAGAGCTTCTTTCTCTGTTAGGATGCCCCCGTGTTTCATAATTTTTTTTGAAGGTGAAAGGGAATGATGGGTCCCAAAGTACAAAAATAATTTTTCTCTGGCTTGATTTTAAAGTGTTAGTTCCAAGTGCTTCAGGGACATTTAGTTGGAAATGTTGCTTCCAACAACATACGTCCCCACTGTAAGCACCTCTTTCTAGAGAATGTCTTGGGGAATGATATGTTGTAGAAAGAGTATGTGTGTGTATTGGTATACATATAATGTGTGTGTGTGTGTGTGTGTGTGTGTGTGTGTGTGTGTGTATGTGTATTTGTATGGTGCTTCCCTGGTGGCTCAGATGGAAAAGAATCTGCCTGCAATGCAGGAGACCCAGGTTCAATCCCTGGGTCAGGAATAGCCCCTGGAGAAGGGAATGGCTACCCACTGCAGTGTTCTTGTCTGGAGAATCCCATGGACAGAGGAGAAGGCTACAGTTCATAGGGCTGCAAAGAGTTGGACACAACTGAGCAACTAACGTGTGTGTGTGTGTGTGTGTGTGTATATAAACAGAATGCTCCAGTCTTAAATGTGGGCCCCACCTCTCACCAACTGTATAATCTTGGGAAAGTAGGAAAGTCTTTTTACTACTTTATCCCTAGGACAAGGCTTCTATCTCCAAGGGTTGTTGAAAGGATTAAAGGTACTTAAAGTTCCTGGTAGCTAAGAAGCACTGCATAGATAGTGACCATTTTATCATCTGTATGGAGGTTAACGGTTGCCATTATATTTTAGGATTATAGACTCTAATTCAGTACTGCTTTCATACATTTACTCTGATAAAACTTCCCTTGGACACTGATAAAAGACTGCAGGGCTGTCTGAGTAGAGTCTTCCAGGTGGCACTAGTGGTAAAGAATCCACCTGCCAAACAGGAGATGCTGGTTCAATATCTGGGTCGGGAAGATCCCCTGAAGGAGGGCATGGCAACCCGCTGCAGTGTTCTTGCCTGACGAACTCCATGGACAGAGGAGCCTGGTGGGCTACAGTCCATGGGGTTGCAAAAAGTAGGATGCGAGTTAGCACCTAAGCCCTGCTTAGATATTTTTCAGCTGTTCTGGATCTTAAAAAAGGGGGGAAAAAAGACTTAAAAAAACTATTTTTTAAAAGAATTAGCTTAGTTCTTTTTTCCTGTTTACTCTCCGTTTCTGAGGGAGACCCCACAAATCTCTCATCTACAGCTCCAAATAACCACATGATGCATCGTATGTCTAGTAAGGGGAGAAGAGGTCAGACACCTGTCCGAAACCAGGACTTCCTGTTTCCCTGCTCTCCAATATTTCATTCTCTGTGACAGTCTCGAACTGTTTCAGCTGAGTATTGAATATTGTTCTGAACCAATAAGTAGATTATTTTCCACTAAAAGTTTGCATTTTCTGATTTCAGTGTTTAGGCTGTTAAGTGAGATCTCTAAAACGCTCTTCAGGAAGTAATAAAATTGAGGACGGTCTTTTCCCAAATGGATCATCATGATCATCAACATCAAAGCAATTAATTTTGTGTGTGTTTGTGTGTGAGGGCTTGTGTGTGTATGTTTAATTGAACATTAAATACAAGTCATTTTGCAGAAAAGATTATCATTTTGGAAAACTTTTCCTTCCTCAGGATTTAGAGAGGTACAACTCTTTTTCTTTTAGGTACATAATCTGTTTTTGGCCTTTTAAAATGAAAATACCTTTTTTATTTTTTAATACTCTTTTTTTTCTTTTTCATTTTTTTCATTATGAAAGTATGATAAGACATTTACAGAAGACTTGGAAAATATAGAACAAAGTTATATACAATCCCACTATATATTACAATTATTTTTTAAGTAGATAAATTAAGATTTTTAGTTGGAGTATCAATATCAAACTCTCAAATTTAATAGAATGAATAGACAGAAAAGTAGAAGGACATCTTAGACCTGAAAAGCACTATGAACCAATTCAACATAATTAAAATTTATATAATTTTCACAAAAAGGAGGATACAAATTCTATTCAGGTTTGTATAGACTGTAAACCAGGAAAACACTGGAACATATCCAGGGACATAAAGCAGAGTGCAGAAATTTTATGGTCTAATGATTATTTTTTAATTTTTTCTGATTTTTAGTTTCTCAAAGGAAATTTTGCTCTTAGGGATCAAATTAACAGATTTTTTGGTTGAATCCCTTATAGTTGTGTTGGGTATATTCATACTTTAAAAAATATTTGAAATATATTTGTTTAAGATAACTAAACTGTCTGTATTGAAATGAATACTCATTATGTTTCAGGTTGTGTTCT